TACTTGATATTGGATTTTCTTACTAACGAATTTTGGTAGTATTGGGAGAGCACACAACTGATGGAGAATCACTTGGTCATCGAAGTGTCCATCTTTTCGATCTTTGGATTTTCCCCTTTTAATACTATGAAGAAACACTCTTCTTCATGCCATCACTCCAAAAATCAGAATTTCAATTCTCTTACCGATCTTTAGAGTTTCTATATGGCCACCGTCTCTTTACATATCCCTTCATTATGAATATGGTTTTACATGTATTGTGTTTCTACTATTTTTTACAGTTCCTAGATTGAGTACCCTTCATATAGAGTGTCATGTCTCTCCAACATTGTATTACCTCTCTTTAAAGTTTTACTGTTATAAATCATACTCATGGCACACTATAAAACTTGAACGAGTCCTAAAAGAGCATCTATTATGAGAAGTACAAAGATGTGCCTTAACAAATATTTTTTCCTGAGACCATTTTTGTTGCAAACTAAACTTAAAACTAAAACTAAACATTATGGTGTGAATCCCAAATAGTATTTTTCTACATGCAATTAAATAAGTGACATTCATGTCATAAGATATGTTATACTGCAGAATTCTAAGATAAATACTATCTTGTAAAATTATATTTTCTCTCTATCCACTTGGAGTTTCCCTTTTAAACTTCTTTTATTCAAAAGTAGACACAAAAGGGCAGTAATTATCTTTCTGCAGGCCTCATATCCCTTTGTTAAGTAGACTTGTAAAATATGGATACTTACATCTTAATCAAACACACCAAACCGCAAAAATTCAGGATGACCTTTTTCCAATGAAGAAATATTTTTCTTTATTTCTCATGGATATTTCTCTCTCAAATAATTATTTTTAGATAGTAGACTCCAAATAGCACTTTAAGAACTCAGTGTGAACCTCAAAACATTATGTTAAGAATAGAAATAAAATCATGACATTCATATCACTGAAACAGTTTTCGTTGTAGAAAACAACACTTGCACATACTTCAATAAAAGGACCATATCTTTCAAACCACAAGTGATTTCTTCATAATTTTATTTTTTTTAAAAGTAAACTCAATTTGATGAATTACAGTCAAATATTACTGAGAAATAAAATTATTTGCATGGTGGAAAATTTCACAAAATTCATTGTAGAGTTCCTGAATTTTGCAGATTCAAAATTGACACCTCTTAATGATGAGTCTATAACACTCAATTCCCCATAATCTCCTACTGAAATTTTGTTAGAAGATCCTACTCTAAAAAACATAAGTATCATAGCGGTATATATTAGAGAAATACCTCTTCTTCTTATTCATATCAGTGCTCCAAAACAATACAGAAAACCCTATTCTGCAGAGAACATTTGCGGCATAGGAATCATGCCAATAATCATTTCAGAGGTTTCCCATAGGACAACAAAGCCGTTGTCTTTCAAAAATTTGGCTTTTAACTCATAAAAATAGTGAAACAAAAGAGATATGGTAGCATGACACCTCACTCTGATACCAATGAAAGTTAGACAAGGTGATCTAGCACAAGGTATATAGTTTTTAATTTTTTGTCTTCTCACCGACTAGAACACTTACAAATGTCCAAATACAATAAAACTCTATTGAAATAAACAAATAAATAACCAAAAGTAGTTCTGACTTGCTGCTATTAATTACAACATCAGTTAATCAATAAATAAAACCAAAACAATACTTATGAGAAATAAAATCCAGCAAACCACAAAGCAAGATACCAGAAGATTACCTCAATCGGACTTAGTACACCCCACACTGGGTCTCCTCCTCTAATGCTGTATAGATCAATGGCCTAGCTTAGATCTTTGAAAGATGGGCAACTCCGACCTCATCATAGGATAACCCATAAATCCTCATCAGTTCCCAGGTAATAGGGGTTTTCCAACTCGATTGACCTAGCACGTCAAGCAAAATCTGAGTATCGGCACATAGCATTTGCCTATCTCGGTCCTTCCCTCTGTCCCTCAAGATCATATTCCCTTGGTCCCTGATAACCATATTATCTTGGTCTTTCAGAATCATTTCCCCACTGAAGTTGTTTGTTCGGGTATATCAAATATTAATTACATGTTTTGGTAAGGCCTTTAATGGCACAAAAGTCCAGCACATTCAATGACTCAATTATTCATCATCAAACATTCACGAACCTTGACATATGTACACCCTATGCCCATCCATACATATTAGCATGGACTCTTAAACAAGCGCTTTGTAAAGGAGAAACAACACAAGGAAATTTTATTTTAAAAAAAACAGCTCAAGGAAATTTCATCTGTCATAGAATCATTCTAAAACGATATATGACTGACATTTCCTCAGTAGTGGATAACGGTTACATTGTAGTGCTCTATCGCGTTCAGAGTTGCTGTAGCGATGGAGTAGGTTTGTTTAAGACCGTAGCCACGAGCCCGGTGGAAGGCTCCGGTACCTCCAATAATCGACAACTCCCTCACCTTAAGCGGAACTAGATTCCTCCCCATCACAGTGAGAGTGCTTGCCATCTGTGAATACTAAGTTGTGGGACTTGAACAAACTGAACTCAGTTTGGGATGTGAAAGCATATAGGCCTTGTGCCTGACCAATAACCTTGGATAGGAGCTCCGGTCCGTCAGTCAAGGGGTCGTAAATAACGACGACCTCGCCCAAGAGAGTGGGCGAGGCGTTTGTCGTATTGGCTTTAGCCATGGTCACTGTCGTAGGTTTCTCTGCGACAAGGAGGTCATGTAAGTAAAAATCAAAGCAGCTCACTTTTCATTTACCTAGGCCTAGCTGTGCTTGGCAAGTGGGCATGGAAGAGAAGAAGAGCAACAATGAGGCCATACCGGTGGCTAATGCTTCGTTCCCTCTCATCTTGGATTCAATGAGATGTTTGATGAAGATAGTTTCTTTTATACATGGCCCAGTCTGAAAACTCCTTGGTAATATATGTGAAAAACCTTACCTTAAAAAAAAAACAAAACAAGTATTTGGGAAACAAGTATTTGGGAAAAACCTTATTGCCAAGTTATGTTGGTGGATGGCGTGATGAACTAGAAAAGGGTGGTCTTCTTGCAATTGTTTCACTTGGAATTGCCGTTCAAATATTTGGGGAAAGCCCTCATTTGATTGGGGTATGCTAGTTATTATATCTTTCTTTGATTTTGATGTTGTTATTTTATTCTTTATTTTATGTGTGTGGTTTTGCTTATAGCCTAGGCTCTAAACAATCAAATTAGAACCAACTTCAAATAGTGTTGAGAAATGTGATGTCAATATTGGAAATTTTTTTCATAGTCTTAAGATATATTTTTATATTTATTTAGAAAGTTTAAAACTTCAAAATATCTTGAAAATTGAAGGTCCAAAAATGCGTTACAAAATATACTATTTTCAAGACTTGAAATCCATTTTTTTCTCATGTCCAGATATCTTGATGTTGAGATAATCAATTTGAAGATATTTGGGCATCAAAGCAACATCTTCCAATGAAATTTTTGAGTTAAGCTTTAATTTGATTGTTTAGAGGCTTGGTTCTATAGACTTTTCCCTTACAGGGAATAATATGGTAGTGCCTTAATAATTGAAGCCTTTAGATGCAAAACACTTGTCTTGACCATCCTGCCCTCCTCCGTTTAGTAGCAATAGTTTTCTCAAACGTGTAAAACCGAACAAAAAAGAAGAAGTAGAAACATGTAATTAATGGGTGGAAAAAGTTTATATAAGGAAGCAACCTTATAATGTAGAATTACGGATGCACCTCAAAAATCTATCAAAAAAAGTAGTTTTATTATTGAAAAACCCTTTAATTGATCATCTCAGCATCGAGATGTATGACCATGAAAAATACAAAGATTTTAAGTCTCAGAAATAGTGCATTTTACAACATATTATCTGCACCGTCAATTTTTAAGATTTTCATATTTTTATAGATCTACTTGATTTTAACCATTTTTAAATTTTTAAATTTTATAATTAGATATAAAAATAAAATTTTAATTTAATCTTAAAAACATTTTATATCAAAATTATATATCATGATAAAATTTGAAGGCACACCCTACCTCTACAGCTACGGATGCATCCGTATGCAAACAGCACCATTAATGGATATGTATGGGATGTAAGATTAAAAATACTCTGTAGAGAGAAAAACCTATCATTGGGCAAGTGGCATCTAGTGGCGAGTAATATTTTTGGCACAGCTCTTATTGTCGAGTCGTGATTTTGATGGTTTAAAGTACACAACATGCTATAATTTTTTTTATGTTTTTTACATGTCATTTTAGATGAAACTGGGGCATATGTAGTTTTCAGTCGGTACGCTGTTACAAAAACCCCTCTAATAAAATAAAATAACCAAAGTGCCCCCAACAATTTTAAGGAGTATCTGGTTATTTTAGTTTATTAGAATCATTTATTTTTTATTTTTAGATAGTGAATCTTATTGATAACTACACGTCCCAAATATATAAAAAACTAAAGAAAGAGACCGTGCTTAATTGGTTGACGCTGGGCTATTTGTACCACATGTATCAATTTGAAGATTCAAAATGGTGGTATTTTTTAAATAAAAAAAAGGTAAAAAGGCTATATACGTAAAATTGAAGAAATTCTTTAACAACACCAATTTAGGGGTTAGTAGCTTAAATTTTTCAAACCAAAAAACACATCCTTAATAAAAAATCGATATTCTCTATATGTTATTGGTCAAGGGTTCCTTCTGCTTCTCCTTCTTCAAACTCCGATTTGTACTTTTCATATAGAAATGTCTGATCAACGATAGAACAAGATCCAATTTGAATTATATGTAATGGATTCCTTCGTTCGGACCAAAGAAGCAATGATCATTATAAAAAAAATAAAAAGGCTATACACGTATAATTGAAGAAATTGTTTTAACAACACTAATTTAGGGTTAGTAGCTTAAATTTCTCAAACAAAAAACACTCATCCTTAATAAAAAAAAATTATAAACTATCGAGCACTCCAAATATTCAATAAATGATAATGAGACCGCCTGATGATAAAAGGCAACACGGCTAACTTGATGAGACTTTGTCCTATGGAACATAGAGGATTAAGATTTAAGGGCTATTTGTGGTCCCTCGTCTTCTTCATTCCCCTCGAGAAAGATGTCTTCGAGGCAAAATTGCATCCATCGCGTTTCTCATCAATCAACAAATGCCACACCACAAATTACAACATTTATTGATGAATCTGACCAAAGATATTGGTAGACAAGAACCCCTTTTATCATAAAAAGCTAGCAATGGATCACAGTGACGTTATACTCCACAGTAACTGCAGCGGCGTCGAACGAAATAGTCCGCAGTAGTGCATAGCCCTGAGCCAGTCTTAAAACTCCATTTCCACCCACCACAGGCATCTCCCTCACATCCTGCAGTATCGGGTTCCTTCCGACCACCGTGAGCGTGCTTCCATTGAATTCGCCACCCGTGAACACAAAGTTGAGCGCCATGGTGACGCTTAACTCTGTCTGAGAAGAAACTACTTCAATTCCCTGTACTGTGCCGATCAGCTTCGAAGTGAGGTTGGGGCCTTCTGTTAGTAGGTCGTCATGAACGTAGATGCTACCGAAGCTAGTGGGTGAGGCCTGGGTGCTATTCAATTCGGCCACGAGTACGGATGTGGGGTTTGGTCCGGTGAGCACTCCTTGGAAGTAGAAGTGGAGGTGGCTCACCTTGGGTTGGCCTATGCCTTGCCTCTCTCTCCAGTCATCTGACTTGGAGGTGGCTATGTCCATGAAGAAAAGCAGCAACAAGGCGAATGCCATGGTCGGTGCTCCTCTCATCTTTCATATATCTTGAATTGAGTTGCAGAAAGACAATCCCCACTTTCCTCACAGTTTTATTAGGTTGACCTTAATGAGGATTTTGCATGAATAAAATAAGGCCACGCATATGGTGGTCCCCGGAGACCTTGTAAAATGCTTAAATAAAAATAAGGAAAACGTTTATATTCCTAAGAGAACTTGTAAAATGCTCAAATAAAATAAGGAAAAAGTTTATAGAGAGCCGAGGCTCCAAACAAACAAATTAGAGCCCCCTCAAAAATTTCACTAGAAAAGGTTATTTTGATACCCAAATATCATCAAATTGGTCATCTCGATATCAAGATGCATGAAAATGAGAAAAAAATGGATTTCAAATTGTGGAAATAGTGCATCTTGTAATGCATTTTTGGACTGTCAATTTTCAAGACTTTCAAGTTTTTATAGATCTGCTAAATGTACACTATTTTTGAAGCTTTAAATTTTATAATTAAATATGAAAATATATTTTAAGGCCATCACAAAGATTTTTAGTATTACAACTACAGTTCTCAACCCTATTTGAAGGTGCGCTTTACTTTAATTGTTGAGAGCCTCAGCCTATATATGGTGCTCCACCAAGTAACAGCAATCGGCTGGGATAATTTTCAAGATTTCATATCATCTCTTATATACCATGAACAACTTTGAAAGAAAGTTTTGAGTCTGTAAAACCCTAGATTTGATTGTTTCCCCAGTAGACGATCTAGATTTATCATCGATTATCATCGAGGGGAAATTGATACGGTACATTATTTTGAGCTCCATCCCCCATGGCCATTTTTCCATTTAAGGTACACAATAATCACCATTGGAGCCTTTTCCTAACTGTATGAAATTAGCTATACGAATTCAGATTCGCTATTTTGTTCTATGAAGGGCTATATCCTCAGTGTGACCATAAATCTCCATATCTTTTCTTACTATTTCTAACCATATCTTTTTAGGTTTGCCCCTTAGCCTTTTTGAGCCTTCTACTTGAAACAACTCTCACCTCCTTATAGTTGTTATACTAGGTCTACGTTGTACATAACTAGCCCACCTAAGTCTATTTTTTCTCATATTATCGCCTATTGAAGCCACACCTAAGTCTAATTTCTCTCATCTTATGGCCTATTGAAGTCATACCTAAGTTCTCTCGAATATATTCATTTCGAATTTTGTCTCTTATTGTCTTGTCACTCATCCATCTCAACATCATCATCTCAGCTACACGCATCCAATGGGTATATAGTTTCTTGACCTTCCAACATTCTGCTCCACAAAGAAAATTGGTCTCCCAGCTGTCTATAAAACTTATCCTTAAGTTTTATTTGTGCGTGACGATCACATAAGGCTCTGATTACACATAACCACTTTGTCCACTAGCTCTAATTCTATATGCGAAAGATTGTTTATAATAACTCCCCTTATGTCACAATAGTTGAGAAATTTTATTATGGATTTTGTCCGCACCAATATATCCTCAACCACTTGATTTCGAATCTAATGGTCAGTAATAATTGTGACTTCCTTTTGTAAAAAATAAATAGTCTCATTGTATACATATCATTTTCTTTATTTGACAAATTAAATAGCTATTAAGCTATGGTAAAGTATAATATGATCCATATGATTAATATTTGATCATATTGTAGATTATTAAAAGAATACGTTATATTGTACTTTATCTTCTTAAATTTTTTGAATGTTAAAAATCTTTTCAGTTTTCGTTGACATTCACCCAATCGCCCACGTTCCCCTAATCTCGTTGATGATTTTTATAGGTTTTAGCTCTTGAGTCTCGGAAGGGTCATGCAAGTTGAGACAAACTTTATCTTCCTATACTCTATTCATTTTAGGTATCATGTGGAAGGGACAAACCTATTGAGAAACTTAGGTCCAATTGCCAAAGGAACTGCAATAAATATCATATAAAAAGAAATAAATACTTAAGGGTATAGTTTATTGTGCGTCCCTAGATCAAAACAACGGATCGGGCCGACTAGTCGGTTCTGGCCCGATCTGGTTAGTCCAATCGATTCCAACTAGATTGGTCGATTAGTGCCTGATTTTTTCTGAAAAAAATGCAATTTTGGTAAAAGAATTCCAAGAAACTCAAAAAATCCCAAAAAATTATAAATTTTTTTAAATTTACATGGATTTTTTTTTTATATTATCACATAAAAAAAGAAAAAAATAAATATCATAAGCATAATTGGGTTTCGGAGAAAATGATTAGACACCTGAAGCAATATTTTTTTCAGTGATCAATATATAATAAATATATAATATTAATATGTAATCAATATATACTATATAATATAAATTTAATTAATAAACTAAAAATAAAAATATAATATAAAGTATAATATGATACAATATTATAATATTTCAACTCGAATGATGCTTTTTTTTGGTATTTTAGAATTCAATTAAAAATATCGGTAAAATATAAAATTGTTCATCCCTTTGTGACAATTTTGATAAATTTCCATCTCTCTCATATCTGTGTCTATGTATATGTCTATGTGCCCCTAGGGGGGTTGGTGGTGTAGGCATTAGATTGAAGATCAAATCAGATGAACAATACAAAATTTTTATATCCCCCGAGTTGAGGGACCTACGGGCTTGGCACCTTGTTGGGCCCCACCAACTTTGGTGCGTCTGAGTCTACTCACCCAAGGTAGCAAACCTTGTAGTTAGCAAATAAAAAATTTGAAATAGTATATAAAGTTTTAAGTAGAAAATAGAAGAAGGAAAATTGTTTCATGTGAGCTGGACCGTATTTCTACATTATGCGGTCCAGAGGTATAAAGCATCCATCTTAAAGATGGATGCAAGTAGATAATACATCTAAAAACAAGTTTAACTAACAGTCCAAATGTTTTCTTAATGATTATTATTTCTAGTTTTCAAATTGTTATTATTTTTTCATATTCATGATCTCCATATTAAAGATTGTATATTCTCTAAAAATTAGGATCAAATTATATTTTAAAAAATATCTTTACTGCCAAGCCAACATTTTTACACTATGCGGGCTAGCTGCATAGAAATCATAAGCTGGCCACATTGAAAACGTGTCCATAGAAGAATAGGGAAACGAAAAAAAAAGGAGAAATATATAAAAAATGGTATAACAATGCATTTATCGGCCGATATTTAGAACAAATCACCGATTAGTGCACTAATCAGCTGAGTAGTCCGATTAGTGCACTAATCAGCTGATTAGTCCGATTAGTTGGCCGATTAGTACAACGAAAAAAAATTCCATCATACATCACCGTTGGAATTGAGCAAGATCGGGATCGGTCAGTGACTGATCCGAGTTAGTCGGCCGATTATTAAAAATCAGTTCATCTTTTAAACGTTGTGCTAGGGGTGGTAACGGGTCGGTAGGGTATGGGTTCAGCCAAACCTGGACTTGGAAAAATCATATGGGACGCAGATTTGGACCTAACCGAACCTAAATTCAATGAACCTAGACCCAAACCTAGACCTAAACCTGAAAATATAGTGTGGGAGTCAGACTCGATCAGACCCAGACCTGGACCCAAACACGATCCGTCAGTGTTTTGGACCCATACCCAGTCCCAGATCAGGTCTACCCCTTGGGTCCTAGGTCCATTGCCACCCTTATTGGGTGCATAAATCCGCCGCCCTATTTTTTTCATGGACTAGATATAAAAACATACTCTTTCAAGTAGATTGAAATGCAATTTTGGTTTCCTTTCATGATTTTGCAGCTAAAAAGTTTCGGCAGATTTGATGAATTAAAATATGGAAAAAGTTTATATAGATCGAAGGCTCTAAACAATCAAATTAAAGCTTACCTCAAAGTTTTCACTAGAAAAGGTTTTTTTGATGCCCAAATATCTTCAAATTGATCATTTCGAGATCAAGAAGCATGAACATGAGAAAAAAATAGATTTCAAGTTTTGGAAATAGTGTGTTTTGTAACACATTTTTGGACCGTCAATTTTCAAGATTTTCAAATTTTTATAGATATATCGATCTACACTATTTTTGAAGGTTTAAACTTTATGAATAACGATGAAAATATATTTTAAGGCTATCACTAAAATCTTCAGTATTGAAACCACATTTCTGGACACTATTTAAACGTAGGCTCTAATTTGATTGTTTAGAGCCTAGGCACTATACAAACCATACCCTTAAAATAAGGGTGTGGTTTGTATAAGGTTGGGGCTCCAACAATCGAAGTAAAACGTACCTTCAAATAGTGTCAAGAAATGTGGTTTCTATACTGAAAATATTTGTGATCGCTTAAAATAAATTTTCATCTCTAATTATAAAATTTAAAGCATCAAAATTAGTGTAGATTGAGCAGATCTATGAAAACTTGACAATCTTGAAAATTGACAGTTAAAAAATGCATTACAAGATGCATTAGTTTCAAAACTTGAAATCCGTTTTTTTCTCATGGCCATGCATCTTGAGGTTGATTTGATCAATTTGAGGCATCAAAACAACCACTTATGGTCAAGTTTTTGAGGTACACACTAATTAGATTATTTAGAACCTCCCACTTATATAAACGTTTTCCTTAAAATAAGGATGTAGTTTCTTTAAGGCCTAGGTTTTAGGGAAACAAAGTAAAGCTTCGTCTTAAATCTTTATCCGGAAAGCACTTTGGGCATTGGAGATCTTCATGGTGACTCTAAATTCAATTTCTAATACAGATTATAAAATTTAAAGATAAAAAAAAGTACAAATCTTGTGGATCCGTGAAAACTTATATTTAGGGTGAAATGGACGGTCTAGATATTGTATGACATATACACTATTTTTAGAGCTTGGATCCAATTTTTTTAAAATTATTATAAAGGTCAAGGTTGAGATGATCAATTTGAATATTTCCGACACTAGAAGTACAATTTTCTATGAGTTTTGAGATGAAGCATTACTTATTTTATAGAACTACAGCTCAATCAAAACATTTTTTAGTTAATTTAATTTAATTTAATTAATTAATTTATTTATTTTATATTTGTGTAGTTTTATGAGCAATAATTT